TCTCTCTTGCTCTCTTTCTCTCTCTTGCTCTCTCCCCCTCTCTTTCTCTCTCTTGCTCTCTCCCCCTCTCTTTCTCTCTCTTGCTCTCTCCCTCTCTCTTTCTCTCTCTTCTCCATCAGTTGCCTGTAGTGCTTCACGCAATTATTAATGCACATCATAAATTATCTGAACAGAATACGCTACTTAATATAGACTCTCTATATTTTCTTATTAATGGAGACACTCATTTATATAAAAATGCCAAGCTAAGCACATAGCTTCTATGACAATTCGACTATTGCAATGACCTTGTAACCTCATAACCTCGTAAATGTTAGGCTTCAAAGTCCGAAGGGCTATATCGAAGATGGAGAGCAACAGAATTGATCAAATAGACAAATCAATACTGCGGATCGCAGTAGAAAAAGCCTAGAAAAGGTTTGCAACTAACATATGGCCTTGCCACACCTTTATGGCCCTGCCACACCTTTCCAAAATAATTCATACGCTCGGCATACGTTAAGGCTATACGCTCTAGTGTGACAGGGCCATAAATATCGCAGTATCAACATCACCGTCGCAGTTTCAACATGCCAATACCATTTTTATATACCAATGCCCCTAAACGCTGCCAATACGCCATTATACAGTAGATGTAAGTTAGAAACACGTTCAGCAAGTTCTGTGGTCGTCCGAAACAGTACGTCAAATACGTCTACATACGTCAATATGCGTTGGAGATAAGTTACACATAGGTTCAAAGCACGTTACTCATAAGTTACAAATAAGTTTTGGGTACGCTAGACATTATCTCGACGTATTTCGACTTATGAGTGACTTACAAGTAACGTGTGTGAACGTGTGTCAACGATCGCATAACTTACCTACAACTTATGGCCCGCGTATGCGGGACGTATGCATGGGCATACGCTGGCATACGTCGAAAATTTTTCGACGACATTTTTTACGCCGTACTACGACGTATACCAGCGTGCTTCAGCGTGCTCTTAACTCATACAAAACTTACCCATAACTTATTCGACGTACGCCAGCGTATTCACCCAATTTTTCATACGTCAGTATACGCTGGCTTGCATACGTTGGTGTGACAGGGCCATAAGTCGGAAAGGAGAGAATTCCAATATGAAACGAGGAAAGCAAGCCCGGGGCGGGGGGGCACTCGCCTCGGAACTGAGTAGGGGGGTGCCTCGGGGACCTTGAAAACCTGACCTGTCGCAAACCGCTTTGCGCCCTAAAATACTACCCTGTCCCAATATATTGTACTAAAAAGTATACCCTGTTGCAATATTGCACATTTCGGTTATGTCCTGTCCTGTCAATATAGGCAGATATTGGTCCAATATCGACCTGGTGATATTGGCCCAATATTATTTTGCCAATAGTGGGCCGATATTGGACCAATATCTGCCTATATTGAACCAATATCTGCCTATATTGAACCAATATCTGCCTATATTGGTCCAATATTGTCCTTGTGATATTGACCCAATATTGTTTTGCCAATATTGGTCCAATATCAGCTTGATGGGTGTGTATCTAGATAACCCTGTGCCAATAATGATGTTCGGAAAATATACCCTGTGCCAATAATGATGTTCGGAAAAT